CGTTACAGGAGGTAATTCGCTAATTCAGGGAGCGGTTCTCACCTGGGGGTGGTTTTGACCCCCCGGGGGACATGCGGCTGTGTCTGGAGACATTACTGGTTGGCCTATGGGGGAGGGGGGGTGCTGCTGGCATCTGGTAGGTAGAGCCCACAGGTGCTGATAAAGATGTTACAGGGCAGCCCTCCACGACCACATGCTATCCCATCCCCAAATGTCAATAGAGCCCAAGGTGGCAAACCCTGATGTGAGACACTTAGAAATACTGCCAGAAAAAAAGAAAAGAAATACTGCCAGGCGCAGAGTAAGTGCTGGAAGGGTTTGATAAATTAAAAGAAAAAGGGCTCCCTTAGCCCTGTGGCTCAGCTGGTTGAGCCCCCTCCCATGCCCTGGTTGAGGGTTCGATTCCGAGTCAGGGCACATCCTGGCTGTGTCTGGGTCCCCAGTAGGGGGTGTGCAGGAAGCAGCCCATCCATGTTTCTCTCACTGATGTTGCTCTCTCCCTGTCCTTTCCTCTCTCTCTCTCTCTCAAATCAATAAAAACGTATTGAGTCAGGGCACATCCTGGCTGCGTCTGGGTCCCCAGTAGGGGGCGTGCAGGAAGCAGCCCACCCTTGTTTCTCTCACTGATGTTGCTCTTTCCCTGTCCTTTCCTCTCGCTCTCTCAAATCAATAAAAATGTATTTAAAAAGTGAAAGAAAAAGGGGCTCACTATATTCAGATACTATGCTAAATGTTTAACCCACAGTTTCTCATTAGAGCTTATTAGGCCCATTTTAGAGATGAGGCTACTGAGGCCAGAGAGGTGAAGGCATTTGCCAAAGACCCCTCAACGAAGAGGTGGCAGGAGTGAGGTTCAAATCCACTGCTCCTGGGGCCCAGACTTTCAATTGCTGTGTTGTCCTGCCGTTCCAAGATGGTGGTATTAGTGGGGAGGGGGGTGTTCCCAGAGTTTGTGCCCCTGAAGTTCTGAGAGCCTGTGTCTTGTTCCTCTCACTCCCAACACGCAGGGTCATGGAGTTCTGGAGATGCCCTCAGGAACTGGGAAGACAGTGTCCCTGTTGGCCCTGATCATGGCATATCAGCGGGTAGGTGACCCCCTGGGCCTGTGGAGGGGGAAAGGGGAAAGGGGCCAGGGCTGAGCCCATTGTCGTTGGCAGGCATATCCGCTGGAGGTGACTAAACTCATCTATTGCTCAAGGACAGTGCCTGAGATTGAGAAGGTGAGCTGGGGCCAATCTTCATGCTCCCCCACTTTTCCTGGGCCTCCCTGGTCCCCCGGGTGGTTGCCATCACCGCTGGGGGGTGGGTGTTTGGGGCTGGGGCCTGGCTGGGCGGGGGCTTGTGCTTTCAGGGAGGCCAAGTCCCCTGCCTCCTGGGCTGGCACAGGTGATTGAGGAGCTTCGGAAGTTGCTCAACTTCTATGAGAAGCAGGAGGGTGAGAAGCTGCCGTTCTTGGGGCTGGCGCTGAGCTCTCGGAAGAACCTGTGCATCCATCCTGAGGTGAGTGCCCACGCCCCTCCTTGCCCAAAGCCCGGGGTTGAGGAAACGCTTCGTCCACCAGGAGTTTTCTCGGGGAGATCGGCAGGGGCCGCACACAGAGTTCTCTTCTCACTTTTCAAAGTCGACTCATTGCTCATGGCCAAGGCAAGCACACTTCTTCCGGGGAGCCTCCCCCCTTCCCCCCCAGCCTAGGAGACGTTACAAAGGCACTTCCTGGAGTCCAGCAGGCCTGGGTTCCTGGCTCTGAAGCATTAGTTGTGTAAATTTTTTTAAAAAATATATTTTTATTGATTTCAGAGAGGAAGGGAAAGAGAGAGAGAGAGAGAGAGAAACATCAAGATGAGAATCATTGATCGGCTGCCTCCTGCATGCCCACACTGGGGATTGAGCCCGCAACCTGGGCAAATGCCCTGACGGGGAATTGAACCGTGACCTCCTGGTTCATAGGTCGACGCGCAAACACTGAGCCACATTGTTTCTCTCACTGATGTTGCTCTTTCCCTGTCCTTTCCTCTCGCTCTCTCAAATCAATAAAAATGTATTTAAAAAGTGAAAGAAAAAGGGGCTCACTATATTCAGATACTATGCTAAATGTTTAACCCACAGTTTCTCATTAGAGCTTATTAGGCCCATTTTAGAGATGAGGCTACTGAGGCCAGAGAGGTGAAGGCATTTGCCAAAGACCCCTCAACGAAGAGGTGGCAGGAGTGAGGTTCAAATCCACTGCTCCTGGGGCCCAGACTTTCAATTGCTGTGTTGTCCTGCCGTTCCAAGATGGTGGTATTAGTGGGGAGGGGGGTGTTCCCAGAGTTTGTGCCCCTGAAGTTCTGAGAGCCTGTGTCTTGTTCCTCTCACTCCCAACACGCAGGGTCATGGAGTTCTGGAGATGCCCTCAGGAACTGGGAAGACAGTGTCCCTGTTGGCCCTGATCATGGCATATCAGCGGGTAGGTGACCCCCTGGGCCTGTGGAGGGGGAAAGGGGAAAGGGGCCAGGGCTGAGCCCATTGTCGTTGGCAGGCATATCCGCTGGAGGTGACTAAACTCATCTATTGCTCAAGGACAGTGCCTGAGATTGAGAAGGTGAGCTGGGGCCAATCTTCGTGCTCCCCCACTTTTCCTGGGCCTCACTGGTCCCCCGGGTGGTTGCCATCACCGCTGGGGGGTGGGTGTTTGGGGCTGGGGCCTGGCTGGGCGGGGGCTTGTGCTTTCAGGGAGGCCAAGTCCCCTGCCTCCTGGGCTGGCACAGGTGATTGAGGAGCTTCGGAAGTTGCTCAACTTCTATGAGAAGCAGGAGGGTGAGAAGCTGCCGTTCTTGGGGCTGGCGCTGAGCTCTCGGAAGAACCTGTGCATCCATCCTGAGGTGAGTGCCCACGCCCCTCCTTGCCCAAAGCCCGGGGTTGAGGAAACGCTTCGTCCACCAGGAGTTTTCTCGGGGAGATCGGCAGGGGCCGCACACAGAGTTCTCTTCTCACTTTTCAAAGTCGACTCATTGCTCATGGCCAAGGCAAGCACACTTCTTCCGGGGAGCCTCCCCGCTTTCCCCCCAGCCTAGGAGACGTTACAAAGGCACTTCCTGGAGTCCAGCAGGCCTGGGTTCCTGGCTCTGAAGCATTAGTTGTGTAAATTTTTTTAAAAAATATATTTTTATTGATTTCAGAGAGGAAGGGAACGAGAGAGAGAGAGAGAGAGAGAGAGAAACATCAAGATGAGAATCATTGATCGGCTGCCTCCTGCATGCCCACACTGGGGATTGAGCCCGCAACCTGGGCAAATGCCCTGACGGGGAATTGAACCGTGACCTCCTGGTTCATGGGTCGATGCGCAACCACTGAGCCACACTGGCTGGGCAGTTGTGTACTTTTGCGTAGGTGATTTCTGGAATCTGGGCCTCAGTTTTCCTTTCTGTTAAATAAGTGTAAAGTTCCTGCTTCATACAGTTGATAAGATTAGGTGAGATAATGTATGTGTAGTCCTTAGCATGTACAAAGAGCTAGAAGAATATGAGAAATTTTCATGATATGAATAGATATATGACACATAGAATATTCGTTTTTATTTAATTATGTTATAAAGGCACAGGGCTCACTGCACCAGAAATTGTTGTAAGCACTTAACGTGTAACTCATGGAGTATGTATTTTGTAAAATTATCTGTAAGAATTTGTCAGAAATAATATAGATGATGGAGGGTAATGAAGTAGCAGCACAGGCCTTGGCGGCTGATGAAATGGGAACGGGGGAGGGAAGGGCCGGCAGCCGCAGAGCCTTCCCGTTGGTGAAGGAAAGGTTTTGTGTTGGGGACAGGCAGCCTGGGCTGTGACGCTGCCACCAGCAGAGCCTCGGGGGGCACAGAGCCGGGCAAGGGCGAGGCAGTTTGTCAGACTGTGTGGTCAGACCCTCTTCTGATTCTGAGGCCTTGCCATGTTCCTGGTTGTTTGCATTTTGAAAGATTGAGCAGTTACCCTTGACCTACACACTAAGGAATCTTCAAGGCTTAGTGGTGTGTGTGTTTGTTTTTGAGGTTTAATTGACATATTTGTTTTGGGTGTACAACGTAATGATTTGATATTTGTATACACCTCGAAATGATTACTGCAATAAGTCCAGTCACCTTACATAGTTATAATTTTTTGTGTGTGATGTGAATTTTTAAGATCTATTCTCTTAGCAACTTTCAAATATGCAATATAGTATTCACTGTAGTCACATGCTGTACATCCTCAGGACTTGTTTTTTTAACTGGAAGTTTGTACCTTTTGACCACTTTCACCCATTTCACCCATCCCTACCCCACCTCTGGCAACCACCAATCTCCTATCTATGAGCATGGTTGTTTCTTTTTTCTTTTTCCTTAGATTCTCTACATAAGTGAGGTCATATGTAATTTGTCTTTCTCTGTGTGACTTATTTCACTTAGCATAATGCCCTGCAGGTCCACCCACATTGTCACAATGTTTCCTCTTTCATGGCTGAATAATAGTCCATTGTGTACAGGGCTTAAGGTTTTAAAAGTAATAATTTAAGAGTAACACTTTTGCCATTCTTTCACCCCTGCAGTAAGTCCCCAAGTGCCTTAACTGTTTATCATTGAAACAGGTTGAGGTTTGAGTTTTCCAAAAATCCCCTCGCTCCACCCCAGAGAGAACAGCTTCCCATCCCCCCAGGGGTGAGGTGTAGAGCCCCAGGTCCCGGGAGTGGTCCGGCTTTTCAGCCCGTGTCAGTGCTGAGATGCACCCCCCGCCCTGCTCCCCAGGTAACACCCCTGCGCTTTGGGAAGGATGTCGATGGAAAATGCCACAGCCTCACAGCCTCCTACGTGCGGGCGCAGTACCAGCGGGACCCCAGCCTGCCCCACTGCCGCTTTTACGAGGTGCCTGCCAGGACAGGGCTAAGGGAGGGCGGGCAGCAGCCCGTGAGCCCACCGCTCTGACCCCCAGGCACCCTCTCGATCCTCTCGCCCTGCCCCAGGAATTTGACATTCATGGGCGCCAAGTGCCCCTCCCCGCTGGCATCTACAACCTGGATGACCTGAAGGCCGTGGGGCGGCGCCAGGGCTGGTGCCCATACTTCCTTGCCCGGTACTCGGTGAGGAGACTGGCAGGGGGCATGTGTGAGGAGTGCAGGCTGCCTGCCCATTTGACTGCCTGTGTCTGTCTGTCTGCCTGTATCTCCCTGTGGGTCTGTGCCTCTGTCTGTCTCTATCAACTTGCTTATTTTTGTGCCTGGCCTGTGTTTGTCTGTCCTCGCCTCGCCTCTGTGGGCCTGTGAGGAAGGGTCGTGGTAGTGTGGGTGGGTGGGAGGTCGCGTGGTTCAGGGATTAGGGGTGGCAGGAAGGCTTGGTGTAACCCTCCTCCCCTCTCCCCTGCAGATCCTGCACGCCAACGTGGTGGTCTACAGCTACCACTACCTCCTGGACCCCAAGATTGCAGACCTGGTGTCCAAGGAGCTGGCCCGCAAGGCCGTTGTGGTCTTCGACGAGGCCCACAACATCGGTGAGGAGGGTGCCAGGGAGGTGATGCCAGCCCCTCAGGCTCCACCCAGGCTCTGCCTGCCTGAGCCGGGCCTTCCCCTCCCCCTCCTCTCCAGACAATGTCTGCATCGACTCCATGAGCGTCAACCTCACCCGCCGGACCCTGGACAGATGCCAGGGCAACCTGGAGACCCTGCAGAAGACAGTGCTCAGGTGGGGGTGCGGGCAGCAGTAGGCCCTGTGCCCGCCTGGCCCCTGCCGTCCGGCCCCTGCCTCTCCCAAGCCCCCATTCTCTGCCCGACCCGCCTCCAGGGACACCAGCCCTGTCCCGATGTCCCCTCAGGTGTCACCCGCTCTTCCTCCACCCCGTCTCCCTGCAGGATCAAGGAGACGGATGAGCAGCGCCTGCGTGAGGAGTACCGCCGCCTCGTGGAGGGGCTGCGGGAGGCCAGTGTCGCCCGGGAAACCGACGCCCACCTGGCCAACCTCCTGCTGCCAGACAATGTCTGCATCGACTCCATGAGCGTCAACCTCACCCGCCGGACCCTGGACAGATGCCAGGGCAACCTGGAGACCCTGCAGAAGACAGTGCTCAGGTGGGGGAGCGGGTAGCATAGGCCCTGTGCCCACCTGGCCCCTGCCGGCCGGCCCCTGCCTCTCCCGAGCCCCCGTTCTCTGCCCGACCCGCCTCCAGGGACACCAGCCCTGTCCCGATGTCCCCTCAGGTGTCACCCGCTCTTCCTACACCCCGTCTCCCTGCAGGATCAAGGAGACGGATGAGCAGCGCCTGCGTGAGGAGTACCGCCGCCTCGTGGAGGGGCTGCGGGAGGCCAGTGTCGCCCGGGAAACCGACGCCCACCTGGCCAACC